CCTTCCCTCCCCCCTGGCTCCCCGCTCGGGGGATTTTCTCCCCGGTGGTGTGGGAGCCGGGAGCGGTGCCGGCCGGGCTGAGTCACGGTGATGGCCACGGGGAGCCCAGCCAGGGAGTTCCCGGGCTGATGCTGCCGAAGGGGGGGTGATTTGGGGGGGGGCCAGGGTGGGACCCCGCTGCCCGTCTGCCCCATGCTGCCAGCCGGCCCCACAGCACCCCGCCTGCCCCACAGCATCCTGCCTGCCCCACTGCGGGGCTCCTCCTGCGCTGTCTGCTCACCCGTGCGATGAGTTCTGCATGGTCTCAGCCTCCCTTCCCTGGCCTCACGGGGGAAGGGGACAGTGCCAGGCTCTGCTCTCTGGTTGTGCCCCGTGCCATGCCGTGCCACGCCGAGCCGTGGCAGTGTGTGAGCGTGTGGGGGACCCTGGGGACGAAGCGGGTGGGAACGGGGGGGTGGCCAGCCGTGGGGCCAGTGTGCGCCGGGGGACCCGGCCGTGCCAAGGGGGTGTGAGTCAGCGCGGGTGGGAGGTGTGGGGAGCGCGGCCACGGCCCCGCCAGCCCCACCGGGACACCCCACGCCAACCTGGCCCCCCCGCCGCCATTGGAGCGGGGAGGGGAGTTGGGGAGGGATGGCGTAGAGAGGGGGGGGTGTTATTTTTTTACAGCCTTGTTTCACAGCTTCCAGAAAAGGCTCGTTCTGGAAACCTCGGCTTCCTGCCCGGCACAGCCGCCCGGCACGCTGCCGGCTCCACGCCCCACCGAGGGGTCCCCCCATTGAGGGTGGGGGGGGGGCACGCCGGGATGGTTGCCCGTGGGCAGCAGCACCGGGTGGGCACGGCTCCTCTGGGATGCGGTGCTGTGGGATGTGCCCGGTGGTCCCGGTGTGGGGAAGGAGGACACGGGGGTGGGTGGGTGGTGGTGAGGGGGGCAGCATCCGGCCCCGGGGTGGGGAACGGGCAACCGAATGGGAACCATGTCCCCCCCCCCGGCCCACGCAGCCCCTGCCCGGCCGGCGCAGGAAGGAGCGAGTTGCCTGAAACCACATCCCCGACACTCATCCCAGAGGCATCCCGGAGGGATTAACCGGGGAGCGTGGGTTGGCTTAAGAGAGCAAAGCATCGCTTCCTGCCCCGGCCGGGCGAACGGCCAGCCCCGGTTCCTCCGCACCCAGCCCTGCCGTGCCGGGCCGTGCCGGGCCGTGCCGGGCCCACGGACCCCGCTAGCCCACATGGGCACACACGTGGCCACGGGGGCTGCACGGCGAGGGGTGGACGGTGCTTTCCTGCTGGCTCCCGTGTTTCCACCATGAGCTCATGGCTCGGCCGGGGTGGGGAGCGCTGGCCCGGGTGTCCCCAGGGGTGCTGGGTCACCCCCCCCTCGGGCTGCGGGGGAGGCCACTGGGGTCAGGGTGGGGGCCAGTTCCCCCCCGCCTCCTTGCCCTGCGCTTCCCGTGGCTTTCCTTGCACGCCTGCTCCTCCCTGCACACGCGTGTGCACACATGCACCCCCCCTGCGGTGTCCTGGAGCTGCTGCCCCGGTGACAGGCGGTGGACCCCGTGTCCCCAACCTTCCTGCCACCGCCCCCGGGCACCACAGGGCTCTGGCAGCTGCCCGTGCTGGCAAGGGGTGGCCCAGCTTGCCCGGGGGTGGCCCAGCTTGCCCTGGCACGGCTCGGCACAGCCCGGGGCTCAGGGAGGTCAGGCTCGTCCCGGCACCGGGGGCAGCTGGTGTCCCACAGCTGGGCTCAGCTGCCGGCGGAGAGCACACGTGTGTGCAAAACCTCCCTTGTGCTGGCACACATGTGTGCCCAGGGCACGCACAAGGGGGTGATGGCAGGGCAGCGGTGCCCCTCGCACGGCTCTGCTGCACCTCGCACACCCCGGTGCGTGTGTGAGCCCTGTGGGGCTGAGAAGATGTGAGGGGCGTACGTGGACGCGGGGTGTGATCGCACGAGGGTCACGCATCCTCACGGAGCGTGTGTGCACAAGAGGCACGTGTGCACGAGGGATGTGCACGCACGAGAGGCGTGTATCCACAAGGGATGTGCATGCATGAGAGGCGTGTATCCACAAGGGATGCCCTTGCACAAGCAGCGTGCGTGCACGAGGGATGCGCACATGTAGCGTGGGGCTGTGCACACGAGTGTGCACCGGTGAGCGGGGCGGGGCGGGCGTGCAAACGGGGGCACGAGCAGCCCTCCCTGACTCTCTCCTCCTCTCCCCCCGCAGCCGGCAGCGGCCTGATGGGGAACGCACCCGCCTCCTCCTTCATGGGGGGCTTCCTGAGCAGCAGCCTGGGCTCGGGGGCCCCCAGCCACCCCGCCGGCCCCACCGCCTCCCCCCCGGAGCCCACTTTCCGTGGGCCCCACTCCGGCACCTCCCAGATCTGGTTCTCGCACTCCCACGAAGGGGAGCGGGCACCAGGGCAGGGACGGGTGGCAGCACCCCTCGGGGGGGGAGGTGGGTGGGCAGGGGTATCCCTGTGGGGTGTCCCTTCAGGGTGGCCGGGACGTGACCAGGGCTGTGCCCGCTGCCGGTGGGTGACATCCCTCCGGCGCCCACGCGGACGGGGTTCAGACCTCCCAGGCGCTGGCACAGGGGGTGGTCGTGGCAGCCGGCCGGCGCGGGCACGCGGTTGGCAGGCGATGAGCTCCGGGGTGGCGGCGGCGGCGGGGGCACAGCCGGCAGCGTGCCCCACAGACCCCCCCCACTCCCCCGGGCATCCACGGGGACCAGGCTCAGCCCCCTGCGATGGGGGCTCAGGGTGGGTCGGGGAGGCTGGTGCCAGGCTGCAGACCCCCACCCCTGTGCCAGGGCTGAGGCCGGGCCAGCTCGTGTCACCGGTGACGGTGAACCAAGGTGTCCTGCAGGAGGGACCCCCGTGGTGGGACAGGCTGCCACAGCGTGGGGACCCCTCGTAGGGTGGAGGGGGGGTGTTCCTTGCACCCCGACCCCCCGCGGTTGCCCCGTGGCACCCCCGGTGTCCCCGTCCCCACCTGAGCGGCCGGAGCGAGGGCCGACAGAGTTAAGGAGCGGGGCGGTGGTATTGGCGCGGGGCCCTGGCAGCCGGCCCAGCTGGTAGTTTGACAGCACACGCAGCTCCGGCAGTGCCTGCCGTTGATGGACAGCCCGCCCGGCGCGGCGGCTAACGAGCTGCTGAGCTGCCCTCATGCAGCCACTGCTGTCACGAGTCTGTGGGGTCTCAGCCCGGTGGGGCAGGGGGGGTCTCTGCTCTGGGAGGGGGGGATTAGAGGCTCCGGTAAAGTCTGGTAAAGCATTTCTAGCCGGAGCGGTGCGTGGCTGGGCTACGGTGTGTGCCACAGCACAGAGATGGCGCGGGTGGGGGGGTGTGTGCCAGCGGGTACACCCCTGGGCTGGGCTGCGGTGTGTGTCACGGCACGGAGATGCCACGGGTTGGGGGGTGTGTGCCGATGGGTACACCCCTGCACCCCCTCCCTGACTGCCATCCCCCCCAGCCCCGGGGTACCCCCGCTTCTCCGGGAGCCTGGCCTCCACCTTCCTGCCCATGAGCCACCTGGACCACCACGGCAACAGCAACGTCCTCTACGGCCAGCACCGCTTCTACGAGAGCCAGAAAGGCAGGTACCGGGGTCCCGGCGCGGCACCGCGGTGCCACCTCCCCCCCCCCCCCCCCCC